TGTGTGGGTGTGTGGTGTGGGGGGGGGGGGCGCAGCAGGATAGCACAGCAGCTTAACCACCAGCTCTGAAGTCGGACTGCCTGAGCCTGAAGTCGGACTGCCTGAGCCTGACGATCTGGAATTGCCTGGAACCCTGACCCTGCCACTTACTAGGGCTGAGACCTTGGCCAGTCGGCTAACCTCCCTACCCCTCAGCCTTTCATCAGTAACTCAGGCTGCTGTCAGGGTGAATGTGGAGCACCCATGTGACGCATGCCCTTCATACCTGACCCACCGCAGAGCTTGGGCAACACTTCCTATTGCTACTGTCCTTTCTGTCAGGAGCTTTGGGGCTATGCAAACAGAACTCTTTTTGGAAAAGAAGACTGAGAAATAGTCTCGTGGCCAGCTGTTTTTATTTTTCCAGATCTCAAGGAGACCCTAAATAGCAGCTAAGAACTGGGGACATTTCTCTGGCTAGAAGTCCACCCAGGCAAGGTCTTGGAAAGAAGGATGAGGCCAGGGTCGCCTGCAGTGGCCCCATTGCCATGACTGTGCCCACCCAGCATGAAGCTTGGGTCCCTGGGAGCTGACTGGAGGGCAGCGGAAGACACCACCAGCCTTCTCCCATAAAACTCCACATGGTAGGGCCAGCCAGTGGCATGGTGGTTAAGGCAGCTGGATCTCACACGGCTGACTATGCAGTTGGGTCCTGGACCCAAAAGCTTGAGAAACACACTGTGTGTGTGTGCATGTGTGTCCAAAATCCCTACGAGAGAATGGAGACGGGATTACAGAGTGGCCACTCACCTCCCCAGGGCAGTGATTTCTCACTTTCCCTCCGTCTCCCTCTGGTGAGTGCACTCACCCTACCGCAAATTAAACAAACAAAAAACAACTCCACACACTGCATGTTGGCGTTCTCACAGCTGTCCCTATCACCAAAACAGCTAGAATGGGGACTCCAAGGAAGGAAGGTGGATTTAGGGCTCACAGGCTTGAGTTTGAGACAGGGCTCTGCCGTGAGAACCACAGCGCAGTCTCCCTTTCGCTGTGACTTTGTGAGTGACTTGGCTTCTCTGGGTCTTGGTTTCACATCTGTAAAATGGGACTAAAATAGCAGTGGTAAGGGCCGCTTTCTCTAAGTCACATTATCATATTGCATATGTCCGAGGAGATGATGTTTGCAAAAGTGCTTTGTAAACTTCGTGCACTGTACACATACCAGCACTCACTAGAAAACAAAGACATTTATGAAATTTTATATGTAGATTTAAAAAAAAATTGCTACAGGGCATGTGCACTCACTAGAGAGAAACAAATAGAGAGAAGGGAAAGTAAGAAAGCACCCCCCAGCGGGGATGGTCACACCACAATCCTGTCTCCTCCATTCTCTTCACAGGATTTTGGTCATACACACACATGTGCCTGACATGTTTTTCAAACCTCTAGGTCCAGGACTAACAGGACATGCAGCTAGCCAGATGGGATCTTGCTGCCTTACCCGCCATGCCACCAGCTCCCTCTATAGAAATTCTTAATGTTGCAATTCAAAGCAAATTCAAACATATCAGTACATTAAATTAAAAATTCTTTTATTTAAAAAAAAAAAAAAAACGCCTCCACCCAATCTAATTTGTGTTGAAAAGCCAATTTGCCCCCTTTGTATTTTCCTAAGGGAAGACCTACTTACGCTTGCCAGTGGGCATGGCACCCTCCCGTGTGACACTGTGACGTACAACACACGAGGAAGTCGTCACCTCCAGCAGGACACTTACCGAGGCCTTTCATGGCCTTCCTCAGGCTCTGGGCATCTTCAACAGCATTGAATCCTGAAGCAGCTTTGATGGTGCCTCCTTTGGATGCCTGAGTACCAGAAATGATGTGACTGAGTGGCAGAGTTTCATCTGGCAAACACTTGCTAAGCACCCAGTATGGCCCAGACACTATTCCGGATGCCGGGGATACAGCACTGACCATGGCAGATCACTGATGCTCTCGCTCCCAAGGCACTGAATGAAGCTCTCGCTCCAGGGAAGACAGGCAGTAAACAAACGGGCAAATATTCTACAAAGTCCCTGGTACTGAGAAGTACTACGACACAGGTATGGAGGGGCTGCTCTGAGGAGTGACATTTAGATGGACAGCTGAAAGACGTAAAGCAGCTGACGTAAAGCAGTGGAGGGAGAATATTATGGACAGGGGAACAGCTACTGCAAGGGCCCTGGGCTGGAACTAGCTTCCAAGGAGGAGCAGTACAGACCTTGGCTGGCTCAAGCTGGTTGGCAAGGGGAGTGTGGTCACCACCTAGGAAGTAATCTTGTTCCCCCACAAAAAAGGGGGAAAAAATCAAATTTGAATCAAATCAACTCTAGAGCCCCAAGCCAACTTACAGGAAGTAGAGGAGCAAGAAAACATACAACACACCGGGGCTGCAGTTTGCAAAATCCAGTCTAGAAACATTACTTAACAAATGATGCCACTTCTTTGACAAATAAATTGCAAAGAGAATTCAAAGAGAGAGATGGAGGGTGACTACAGTGCAAAAGAGATTAAACAGAGAGCAACAGGAAGGGTGGTTGAGTCGACTGGACTCCCACATGACTGACTGTGGTTCGAGTACTAGGCCTGGCAACTTCTTTTCTCACTTTCCTTCTCTGTCTCTCTCTCTCTCTGGTCAACTTCAAAAAAATAAAATAAAAATAATGACAATGAATAAAATTAAATTAAATAATTATTTAAAAAGAGAGAGAGAGAGAGCAATAATCATAATGTGTAAACCTTCTTTGGGTCCTGCATCAAGCAGTTTTAAAAAAAAAAAGACAACTATGGGACAAATGGAAAGTTGAACACTACCTGATATTTGATGACATTAAGGAATTACCTACTTTTAGGTATGCTAAAGACATTATGGTGGGACCAGCAGTTAGCGTAATGGCTATGTTGCTGGACTCCCACGTAGTTGACCGTGGTTTGAGTCCCGGACCCGGTGGCTTAAAACTCACGCCTGACGCGTGTGCGTGCGTGCCCAAGATCCCGAGAGGAGAATGGAGGAGAAGGGATTGTGGCGTGACCATCCCCCCTGGGAGGGTGATTTCTCGCTTTCTGTCTCTCTGTTTCTCTCTGTCTGTCTGTCGACCGCATGCGCCCTATAGCAAAAACTTCTCAAAAAAAGAAAAAAAAGACATTATGGTTATATTTTATTATCTTAAGAAGTTTCATCTTGAAAAAAAAGAAAAAAAAAGAAGTTTCATCTTACACATATTAGAGTAGTTTACAGATGAAATGATAAGATGTCTGGAATTTGCTTCAAATGATAAAAGTAGAGGAAGTAAATGAAGATAAGGAAGAAGCAAGATCGACCACGAGTTAATAATTACTGGCAGGTACACAAAGCAGTTCCTCATAATATTCTGCTTATTTCTTCATAGGTTGAAACTTTTCCATAATAAAAATTAAAAACAGACCTGGCTCTATGGCCTAGTGGTCAAAGGAGCCAGACCCCACATGAGCGACTCAGTGCACGCACATGCACATTCCAAATCCCAAAAGGATGGAAAGATGAAGAGAAGGGGTTGTGACATGATCATGCCCATCGGAGGTCCTTTCTCCCTTCATGTCTCCCTGTATGGATTTCTCTCTCTGGCAAGCACATATACTGTGTGGCAATTAAAATACATAAAACACAAAAAATCAAAATAAGAAGAAAGAAAGGAAAGGAAAGGAAAGGAAAGGAAAGGAAAGGAAAGGAAAGGAAAGGAAAGGAAAGGAAGAGAAGAGAAGAGAAGAGAAGAGAAGAGAAGAGAAGAGAAGAGAAGAGAAAAGAAAAGAAAAGAAAAGAAAAGAAGGAAGAAAGAAAATCAGAAGAGTGGGCTGCAGCCAGAGCAAGGCAGCCAGGCAGACTAGGGTAAAAGAGTTGAGATGAAAATGAACAGACTCAGCACATGTTTATGAGCAAAGGAGACAGAACTTGCTGATGGCCTGGCGTGGGAGTTAAGGAAAGAAAAGAATCAAACATAACTCGAAATCTCTCCAGCTGGTTTTATTTTTGAGAGAGATTTTTGCTATAGTGTGCACCCACTAGAGAAACTGAGAGACAAAGAGACAGAAAGTGAGAGATCACTCCCCAGGGGATGGCCACGCTGCAATCCCTTCTCTATTCTCTTCTCAGGATTTTGGGCATGCATGCACATGCACCTGGTGTGTTTTAAGCCACTGGGTCAGAACTCAAACCATGGTCAGCCATGTGTGAGTCCGGCACCTTAACCACTGTGCCACTTGCTGGCTCCCTACCTAACTCTTAAATCTCTCCCTAATAAGCCCCTCCCCCACTACCGACTTCAGCAATTAGATGGAGAGTTGGTATCACTTATGCAGATGGAGAAAATTGGAGAACTGACAGATTTGGGGTGTTAGTGGGGGGTGGGGTTTAGTTCTGTTCTGCTATGTTGTTAAAATATTATGCTTGGGATATCTACTAAACGTTCAAGTAGAATTGTCAAAAGGACAATTGGTTATACAATGGAAGTCTAGAGGTCAAGGCCAGAGTCATATCTTCAGGATGCACCAGCATTTGGATAGTATTTGACAAAATGACTTAGGGAGAAAGTAAAGGCAGAGAGAGAGAGAAGAATGTGCTCTAAGGATAACCCTGGGTTTCTCCAATAGTATAGACCCAGCAGAGGAGAAGCCAGTAAGGGCGACTAAGAAGGAGTAACTCCTGAGAACAAAGGAAAACCAGGATGGTGCTTGTCCACAGCTGAGGAAGGAGGGTGGTCAGCACCTGCTGTAGTGAGAACGTAGTGAAAGGAGCATAGGGCACTGCAGCAGGGTAGACCGGGACTGAATCCTGTCAGTCCTTTCTGCATGAGTGGCCTAGGGTGAGTTTCATTTTTCTCGACGGTGTAGAAGGAACAATATCAGCTTACAGGATGGTTGTAATGATGAAATAGGACAATATAGGAAAGAACCCAGACAATATAGCAGAGAACCCAGAAAAAAAGTAAAACAAAAACTCGAACTAGTCTATTATCACTGTTATTATTTTTTTTTAAGAGAGATTTTTGCTACAGAGCACTTGCACTTGCTGGAGACACAGAAAGAGACAGAGAGAAAAAAAGCGAGAAGTCACCCCCCCCCAGGGGGGATGGACACACTACAATCCCTTCCCCTCCATTCTTCTCTTGGGGGGCTTGCATGCACACATGCCTGGCATGAGTTTCAAGCTGCTGAGTCTGAGACTCAAACTGCAGTTGGCATGTGGGGGTCCAGCACCTTAACCACTATGCCACCTGCGGGCTCCTGTCATCATCATTATTAAATATAATTTCAGCCACATTGCCCTCATAAATATAATAGTCAGATTTTTTTTAATCTTTCATTTATTTACTTATTTATTTATTTTATTTTATTTAATGCCAGAGGATGCTCACAAGAAAGAGAAAAAGCATCCCTCAGTGGGGCCTGGTTATGCCACAATCCTTTTCCCCCCAATTCTCCTTCCCACCAAGATCCTGGGTATACACCCATGTTTGAGTACACTCAATTTTACCAATGGGCCAGGATTCAAAGCCTGGTGGACCACATGGAATCCAGCTTTCCTCTGCACAGCACCCAACTGCTATGATACAGTGCTAGCCTCTTTATCTGTCTCTTAAAATGTCCTTCAATACAAGCCCATGGGATAATGTCAAAGGAGAACCTGGGACAGAGCATTTGTACAAGATGCCAAAAACAGTGTCGAATAGAATAGCTTTCTGATGATTTAATTGATCCAAGGATGTAACACAGGCCATCTAAAGGAATGGAAGATTTCTGTATTCTTAGGGCAATTCTCTAGCAAAGCAGATTTAAGCTGGACCACCTTGTACTGGGCCACCTTGGCCTGGACTTCTCGGGTCCACTGTGGCCCAAACAAAACCCATCCATTTCTTTGGGTACCAGAAAGCATAGCCGTCCTCTGCTGAAAGACCAGGCTTTTGCATCCTGGATATGATTGGTGGCCCCCACTTAGTCATCACTCTCCATACACCTGACAGAGGAAAGTAGAAATCTACCACACCAACTTCCTTGGGCACTGTTATCAGTTGAATCGTATCTCCCCCCAAAAAAAGGGCATGTTGAAGTTTACATCAAAACGTGGCCTTGTTTGGAAACAAGGTCATAGCAGATACAATTCATTAAGATGGTGTTATACTAGTAGGGTGGGTCCCAATGCAATATGACTGATGTCCTTATGAAAAGACAGCTACATCAAGACGGATGCAGGGGCAGGCAGTGGTGTACTGATTAAGTGGCTACATCCTATATGGCTGACTACACTGTTGGAGTCCTGGACTCAGTGACTTGAAAAAACATGCTGGGCACATATGCATGCATGCCCCAAATTTCAAGAGAATGGAGAAGGGATTGCGGGATGACCACTCTCCCAGGGGTGTGATTTCTCACCCCCCCCATCTCTCTGTCTCTCTGCATGCACTCTATAGCAAAACTAAAAAAAATACAGGTAAACGCACAAGGCAAATGCCATATGATGACAAAGGCAGAGAATGAAGTTATTCAGCAGCAAGCCAAGGAACACTCAAGGTGGACTGCAAACCACCAGAAACTAGAAGAGGAGGGAGAAGCAAGGAAGGATTCTTTTCCAGGTTTCAGAGGGAGCACAGTCCTGCAGTCACCTTGATTTTGGATTTCTGGCCTCTGGAACTATTGGGCAATACATTTCTATTCTCGTAAACCACCCAGTTTGCGGTACTTTGTCACGACAGCCCTAGGAAACTACTATAGGCACTTAACTTTTTTTTTTTTTTCTGCTATGGATCACCAGTAGTAAGCAAACTGGTGATTCGCTGTCACGATTCCAACATGACGTTACGCAGCCTTTGACCCCACCATGAGACAGCTTTCTGAGTTGAATGTTTCACAGGGCTCTTGTGGAATCCAATATTGGAAAAATTTTGGATGGTACTCAAACACTGTATTTACCTTTAAAGCAAACTGAATTGCTGAGGGACATTCGTACAGGATTAAACATATTGTCCTAAGATAAATCAATAAAGGGATTGGCAAAAGTGGTTCCGTTTTATTGATTAGCATTTTAATGACTCTTTTCTTCCAGGAAAAAGATCAAGATATTTGTCCCTTGTTAGTTCTGTTAGTATCTGCATTGATTAAATTCCAGAGCATAATGTACCATTAACCATTCTGGGAAGACTGAAGATTCCTTCCCAGGCAAGCTCACTGTGGCAGTGGGCAAAGGAAAAAGAGAAGAGAACAAAAGTGAATAACTAGAAATAGGTGCTATATCACAATGGTGAAATATTATCAATATTATTAATAATAAAGATGTAAACATCAGAAAGGTTGACATACACAATGGAATGCTAATACGCAAGAAGAGATGGACGAACAAACTATGGAAACATATAGCAGTTCCTCGGACATGAAATGTAAAAAGTATATTGCTCAGAAAGAAGTCAGTCACCACAGAGTACATACTCTGTGGCTCCATTTATAGAATGGTCTAGAAAAGGCGAAACTAACCTATGAGAGTAACAATCAGAACAGTGGTTGCATTTCTGGGATGGAGAGCAGGGTGAGTACTGACTGGAAAGGGGCATGAAGGGGCTTCCTGGAGAGACAGAATGCTGGCTTGATAGAGGAGTAGTTACATAGGTATATACACCCCTCAAAATCCATCTACGGCAATCTTGAGGGACAGTTTATACATAAACTATGCTTCTGTTAAAAAACTTTACAAAATATTTTTGTGAAATGGCTTTTAAGACATATGGTCATTTCAGTGAATTTGGAAAACCAAAAGAAAATTAAAATACTCATAATACTACCAACCAAAACAAAGAACGTTAAAATGATATAAAACATAACATAAATATACAATTGCATAGACATTAGATAAAGCATAAGATTAGAGTGAATACAAAACTTTTGTGTTCTACTCTCTTATCATTTTCTCATTTTATTCTAAGCATTTCCCTGCAGTAAGTGGGGGAAAAAAAGCAAAATTTATTTATGCTCTTATTACTGTTATTTAAAAATCACTATCTAGGGGCCAGGAGGTTGCATAGTGGTTAAAGCACTGGAATGTCACATGGCTGGCTGCTGTTCAAGTTCCGGACCCCGTGGCTTGAAAAATTATGCCAGGCACGTGTGCATGTGTGCCTAGAATCCCAGAAGCAGAGTGGACAAGGGGTTACATCATGGCCATCCCCTCAGGAGGTGATTTCTTACTTCCCCTGTCACTGTCTCCTCTCTCTCTCTCTTTCTGGCAAGCACACATGCATTATAAGAAAAAAAATTTTAGTTAAAAAAAATCCACTATATATGTGGAGGGTATAAAATAAAATTATAAAACAGTTGGGATTTTCAATATTGTGACACTACAGCATGTTTTCTTTTCTTTCAAACATGTTCTTTATTTGTCCAATAAATAACAGTCATGATGGCAAGACAGATTCTAGGAGGAAAGACGACAGCAACTAAGATAATTGGCCTAGAGTGGAAAGCATGGTAAAGGGTCACTTGGTCATAGTCTCTACGTGGAGGAATGCTGTAAGCAGGCTGGAGACGAGACAGTATCCCGTTCACTTCAAGTCCCCTAGGCCTCATAGCATATCTGGCTCCAAGTAGGGACACCACAAACATTTTTTTTTTTTTGAGAGGTTTTTGCTATAGGGCATGGGTGCTCACCAGAAAGACAGAGAGAGACATAGAGACAGAAAGTGAGAAATCAACCCTCAGGGGGGATGGCCATGCCACAATCCCTTCTCCTCCATTCTCCTCTCAGGATCTTGGGCATGCACGCACACGCGCCTGGCATGAGTTTAAGCCACCGGGTCCGGTACTCGAACCGCGCTCGACTACATGGAAGTTCAGCGACATAGCCATTCCGCTAACTGCTGGTCCCCAAACATTTTTGAATATTCTTTATATCCAAGGTGAACTAATCAATAAGAAATGGACTTTAAATTAAAGCGTAAGAGATTTGGGGCAGACATGAATAAGCTTTTGACCAACTGAGATCACGAAGAACATTCTAGAATGTCTAATGTTTAAAAAATAAGTAAGAGTTTATTACTATTTGCTCAAGATAGTTTACTTTATACAGCCATCTCCCTAAAGGAAGGCATCTGGAGCTGGCGGGAGCTCCAATTCCTCTCCAGGTGTAAGATTCCACTTCTATTATTCTTCCAGGAAGATCAGGGATCAGAATCACTTGCCTCCTCAGAAGCTTTATTTGGGTGGGAGAAGGAGAGCAGATGGCCAGCTAAGAGGCTCAGCTTCCACCTCAGTGCTGAACTTTACGGAATTTGTAAAGGGATCCAATTCCATGTCTGTCCGAGGATCAGATAACCAAGTACCAAGGAGTCTGATCACAGTCAAAAGGCAGATGACAAGCCCTATGGTTAAGAAATACCTGTCCTGATGAACCTGAAGAAATGGGGCCACACCAGAACATTTGCAGTAGTCATCTCCTGGTGGTAGAACCTGCAGAATTCTTACTTTATCCTTTTTATTTGCCTAAACACTACAGCATGTATTTCTATATTCTCAAGAGGTTAAAAGATTTAGATAAATCTGTCTTTGAATTCATTTTCAAAGTTAAGTTACCATCCCTGAAAGAAATTAAAATGGTGTTCAGAAAAGAAACCTTCTCCTTCCTCTCTTCGTGTCCTCCTCCCTCCCCTGTTGAGCAAACAACCTTTGTTTAAACCAACAGTCGGGTCCCTGAGTACACAGCTCGTACCTGTCTGTGGCTGGTACCAAGCCAAGGTGAGGCCCTCCACCACTTACCATGGCCATGACCGTCAGGAGCAGAGTTCAGTCGCTCCGGCAGAAGTTCCTCTGTGATAAAAGCAAAGGGACAATGACTGTGATGAGGGACGGCATTACGAACATTAATCAGGATAACTTGCAGTTTGCATGAAATGACACCCAACTTCCTCCAAAGGTCAGCTATTGATTAGCCAAAGAGACGAGGGCCAGGCTAATCATTAAAGAGAACCTGCTGGAACAGCCGAGTTTATCATACTAGCAAAATCCTTCCCCACCTGCTCTCCTGCTGGGAGATCCACATTACAGAAATGATAGCATCATTGCTCACACTCGAGCCAGACACAGGTTCTGAACGGTGTGCTGTCAAGGACCAGAAGAGATGTTCCTTCGACAGAAAAAACAATCCAACTGCATCAGGGAGAAGTATAGCACCCCAGCCTCCACTCAGACTGGTGTGTGTGTGTGTGCTTGTATGTGCGCGTTTGTATGTGTGGGCATGTAATGACAAGCCAACAGCCCAACTGACATCGGATTCTTCATTTCCCAATGCCTACTGTCACTGCCACCATTTGGGGACTAAAGATGCTTGTTCTCTTCAAGCTCCTGTCTTAAATGTTCAACTTTGTCCTTAGTTTTCAGAACCCTCTCTATCATCAGGAAGATGGATTGTGAAAATAACGAAGTTAGGGGCAGCGTCTTTGGTCCCGAATGCCGCAGAGTAGAAGAGTGTGCTCGGGTTGATGCAGGACCCACAGCTCACTGTGGGACAGAGCTGGCTGTGTGATCCAGACACAGGTGGTTACTCAGAGGAAACATCAGCCTGATGGACTGAACAAAAGCCACTGCAAGGTCTGTTTACCAGGAGAGGGAGGATTGATTGTTCCTACTCCCTTACAAATGCCAAGCGTTAACGCCCAGATGAAGCAGCTGGTACGCTTCCTATGCAAGCCATGTGGGACTGGTTTTGTGATTTTGGGATAGTCATCCACTGAATATGCCTGTTAATGACAGAGGTCATGGAAAGTGCTGTGGTTAATGGGACCCTTTTACATGGACACCCCATATAATCTTAATTTTTTATTTTTTAGAGAGGTTTTTGCTATAGGGCACATGCACTCGCCAGAAAGACAGTGAGACAGAAAGCAAGAAATCACCCTCCTGGTGGGGGGCGGGACGGTGGCCACACTGCAATTCTTTCTCCTCCATTCTCCTCTTGGGATCTGGGGCAGGTACCTACATGCACCTGGCATGAGTTTAAGCCACTGGGTCCGGGACTCAAACTGCAGTCGACTACATGGGAGTCCAGCGACATAACATTACACCAACTGCTGGCCCCTCACTCCATATAATCTTACTGCTGCAAAACCAAAAGTTCAGAAAGCCTTACTGAATTTGCTCTTTCATTTTCCTCCTACATACCTTACAGATGGTAACAAAACCATTTGGTTTATAACAAGAGAACGGGAAAAGGCATAGAGAATCAAGGGCCTGCTCTAGGCAGGGTGGGAATATTTAAATGGTTATTAAGAATAAGGTGAACAGGCCCAACTGCCAAGGTACGGCGGTAGCACAAAGCTCAGCAATGCTTGGAAGCCTTATGGAAGATTGGGATTTGGTTCTCAGGTCAACCTGTACAGCTGGGGCATGACCCTGATCCTGGATGGTCAGGGAGTTGGGAGGTGAGGGGAAAGTGGCATGACAACCTGGTGAAGGTGCTTGTCTTTCTCTGACTCTCTCTCTCTCTGCATCTGTTTCTTTGTCTCTCTCTCTCTCTCTCTGATGAGAGAATAAATTTTAAATATTGATAGAAGTGAAACAAAAGCCATGAGCAAAGCTTTTTGAGACTTTCCTGAGCCTGAGTCATTTCTTACTCTGGAGTGTCCCACCCCGACCCACATCATATGAACTATCGAAACGCACCCACACTCTCCATTAGATATAACGTATGTGTGAGTCGAACTGAGTTGCCGCTGACCGGCTGACGGCCCTGGCAGACACGGCTTTCAAGAGCGAGGGCCTTCTCTTCGCCTCCATGTAGTTTTTGAATACATGCCAAGTGAGGATGCAGGGAAAGGGGTCAGCTCTCCAGAAAAGCAACCTTTAATATGAACATTTCCACTCCCTTTCACCACATTAGTAAGTGGAAAGATTGCTTGAGCAAAGCCTTCTGGAAATACTGAGAGTCATTCACCGAGCTAGAAACATTTTCACTAGAGGAAAAACTGTCTCATATTTGAAAACTGGGTACTTCTGGTCATTTTATTTTGAAATGGGGATAGCTCACAGCATAAGGCCATTTATATAGAGACAGCTGTTGTATATATATTAAAGTTTTTCTAGTACCAAATGAGTTTCTAAACATTATAGATTATAGAAATGAATGCGGAATACGGTACTCTGATTGTTTTATTAGTCAACCTATAATGGAAAGTAGAGACAAAGTAAAACAAAAGTAATTTACTGGAGCCAAAATGAGGATGATTATGTGGACATGCATCATCCCCGGAGTCCTGAATAGTCTGTGCCAACATTTTACCATCTCAGGGTGATTTGAAAGACCAAAGTCACGAATGGGGACAAGAAAGTGTGGGTTCTGATCAGGAAATGGTGAGTAAATAATTCTCCTTGGGAGCTGGATGGGCTGGTGAGAAAGACAACAGCTTGTGACAAAACTCTGTCCAAGTGTTGACATTTTTCTTTTATAATGATAGAGAGCAGATGGGCCAGCCCTGTGGCCTGTTGGTGAAGGGACCAAAATCCCACATGGCCAACTATGGTTCAAATTGTATCTCTAGTGATTTGGAAAACACATTGGGTGCATATGCACACGTGCCCCAAATCCTGACAGGATTGACAGAGAGAGAAGGGATTGCAGGGGGACCACACCTCATGGTAGAGGGGATGCTTTCTCTCTCCCTCTGTTTCTGCCTCTCTGGAAAACATATACACCCTCTGGCAATTAAAAAATAATAATGAGATAACACGCACGCATATATGAGAGAGAGAAGCAACCTCAACAGAGTCTCGTCATACCACAATCCCCTTTTGTCAGCCCTCCAGCTCCCTAGGATCCTGAGTGTCCATGTGCACACCTAACATGGGATCTGAACCCCTGGCTGGCCTTATGGCTTCCGGCCTTGAAGTTCATTTGCATTATTGCTGTGCCGCAGAGGCTAGACCAAGGTGTGCTAACAATGTTTTATCTCTCAACCTGAGACAGGAACTTAGTTGATGAAACCTCAGGAAGAGGACCAAACATTACTGCTTTTTCCTTCAGAGGTCCGATCTGCAGGCTGATCATGGGCTATCTGAGCAAAGCCCTTTCCCACACTGTGGAAGAGAAATGGGCTCAAAGATGGTTCAGAGACAAGGGGCGAGAGATTTCCAGGATCGCCTTCAGTGTGCCTGAATTCAGTTTGGTTCTCAGCCCTATGTTAATAAGTAGGCTTGGGATCAGCAGATGGTGTAGTGGTTACATTGCTGGACTCACACGTAGTAGGCCCGGGTTCAAGCCCTGAACCTGGTGGCTTAAAACTCATGCTGGGTGTGTGTGCCTGCATGCCCCAAATACCAGAAGAATGAAGGAGAAGGGATTGCAGTGTGGCCATCCCTCCAGGTGGTGATTTCTCATTTTCTGTCTCTCTGGCGAGTTCATGTGCCCTATAGCAAAAATCTCTTAAAAAAAAAAATAAAATAAGTAGGCTCTTGAGACCAGCAGATTGCATAATGGTTACATCACTGGACCCCCACATAGTCAACTGCGATTAGAGTCCCGGACCTGGTGGCTTATAACTCACAACAGGGGGGCTGGCAGGTGCCATAGTGTTGGGGTGCTGGACTCCCACATGGCCGACTGTGGTTGAAATCTTGGACCTGTCAGCCTGTTTCTTGCTTTTCCTCTCTCTCTTGCTCTCTTGCTCTCTCCCTCTATCCCTCTCTGGTCAAAAAATAAATAAATAAATAAAGTTAAATGAAATAATTCTAAAAAAAAAAAAAAACCTCACAGCAGGCACATGCACATGTGCGCCCAAGAGAGGAGAATTAAAGAGAAGGGACTGTGGTTTGATTTATCGCTTTCTGTCTCTCTCTCTCTCTCTCTCTCTGGCAAGTGCACATATCCTATACCAAAACATCTCTCTTAAAAGAAAAAGCGAGTAGACTCTTAAGTTATTTTTTTTCACACATTAGATATCAGATGATACATGTAAAGTCAGTCCACACAATGGCTTACTAGCACAGAGCCTAGCACCTAGTTAGTTCTCCATAACTCTTGGCGAAGAGGAGGGGGAGCAGAAAGAACCACGTCCCCCTCACAACAGTAGGCCTTTTAGTGGCAAACACTGATCAGCCTGGAAGGGATGAAGCTCTCCCTAAAAAAGCCCTCCCACCTTATCCACCTGGCCTGCAGCGCCATGCTCTGCAGATCCTCTGCAGGAAGTCCTTTGCCACCTCAGCTTCCTTGACTCCTTTATGCTTTCTCTCTGAAGGACTTCCTGCAATGCCACAACTGAATAATAGGACCATGGTCACAATGACTCAGACTTTATGTCAGGGTTTTAAAAGTTTCTTTGCAACTTACTGATGGGGCAAACTAATTAGCAACAATGCCTCAGTTTTCACATCTGTAAAATGTGACCATATTCGTGTTTTGGAGTGGTTCAAATGACCCTCAAGATGGACGGATAAAGTCTGAAGGTGGTAAGTTTTTTAGCGATGTCTAAGAAAACCTAAGGGTTATGCAACATGTGGGTGGAGAATTGCGACTTCTGAACAATACTGAAACTCTACGATTAGGGCTTGGGATAGGGCTCCTTCAGTTGTTAAGACATAGTTTTAGAGAACTGAAAGAAAACTAGGAATTAAATGAGGACTATCCTAACAGCAGTTAGGTAAGAACAAAAATAAGCTCAACCTATTTCAGGTAAGATTACATAAATGTATGGAGATAATTTACAGTGGATTCATAAAGAGAAATTAGGGCGTCTCGAGCTGTAGCTGGCCGCCGATCGTAAGCGCTCCGGGATCTTCAGTGCTCGCGGCCGCCATCAACGTCGCTGGAGTTCCTCAAG